CATTCTTTCCCCCTTTGTAGTGATTAAGTAGATTGTGAAGAGCTAAAATACATTCTCTGAAATACTAAATAAGTAACCCGTCCTCATCAGACTTTAATGCACGTATTTATATCAGCATACTCATGATTTCCTACTTTCTTTATTGTAATATCATCTCTTTCTGTCATTATTCATTACGATGTTCAAGTTGTCATGGATCTTGTCAGTGGCAGCTCTTCCTTGCTGGCTCTTGTTTCCTGTTGGCCTCTCCTGTTCATGTGGTGAGCACCGCCTTGTTTCTAGCAGTGAGGTATTTCCTACCTTCAGCCCTGGAATCAGAGATTTCTTCTGGCCCCTTTTAGTGGAAAATAGTACTTAGCTGATCTAAGTTCTAAACATCTCATTGTGTTAGGCTCTCTGCTCTCAGTGGCTAGAGCTAGAAAATATACATATATGTATCCCATGTTCTACACGTATATATGCGAGCATGCATCTGTCCACCATCTGTATATCTCAGTGTCAGTCACACTAATTTCAGGCAGTTAAATCCAATTGCAGTCGACACCAAATGGCTCATTGTTCCCCCCCTGTTCATATTGCTAAGTCTTTTGGTTCCCATTTATTTACTTGGTTGATCAGTCTTGACTGTCCCCTAGTATGTAACCAGCCTCTCTCTGCTGTAACCCCTTCCTCCGTGGCTGCCTTCTTCAACCCATCTGGACGCCAACACCTTAGCAGGGCCGCTGCTGCTTCCTGCTTACTACTGACATCTTTCTCAGCTACTTGGACCCTGCCTGGCCACCCTGTGTGGAAAGCCTCCTGCTCTCTGGGCTCTGACAGCTCTCATGGGGTCCTTCTAGACGCTATTCTTGGATTCTAACGCCGGTTTAGCCAACCTCTTGCTACAGAGATGCTTTCTCTCTCCCAGGCCAGGCCCTGCCATGACTTACCCCCCTCCTTACCCTGTGAGTCCAGTACTCTGAGCTAGGCCACCTCCTGTGTGGACCCCTGTCTCGCCTTGCTCTGGCTATCCCTTAGCCGGGATCACCCTTGCCCTCAGTGAGCTCCAACACCCTGTGCCAGGTGGCACCTCCCTCAGTGTGGCCAGCCACTGCCAGCTTTGTAATGGTTTTCTATTTTAATACTCGTGACACTGAAGAGGTATGACATTTCTACGAGGTCAGTCCTGTGTAGGCACACACACACACACAGCACCACAGTGGAGATGATACTAGGTCAGTTACAGGTATGCGCACACACCCCCACAATGGAATAATTATCCTGACAGTCCATTCAGTGGAGCAAGGTGAGGACATCTGAGTCCTCAGATGGACTCAGTTCCTGAGTTCCTATTAAGAGTGGGCACCTCTCCAAGCTGACAGCTTTGAACGTAGACTCTTCACTCAGCTATGTCCCCCAAACTCAGGGCAGGTGATTTGTGTCTGCACATACCATGCCTGCTGTATTTTGTGGGCAATGTAAGGGCTTCTCCAAGTGATTTTGACCATGGGCCATTTGGCTATATGTGCTCCTTCTGGAACCCGCCACTGTGCATCTCCCCAGGGCCTGTGACAGCTCCTTAGTGAGGCAGCGGGGCTGGGGGGAGACCCAGGCGCTGCTGGAGCTCTTCTCAGGTTGAAAACTTCCTGTTGCCTCCCATAAAGCAAAAGCCTCCAGGGACTGTCAGGCCAGGCAGGAGAGGACAGAGCCTGGGACAGAGTGACCTGTGTCAGCTTAGTGAGAGACTGGTGGATCCAGGCCAGCGCCTGGGAAGCAGACTTTTCCCGATTTGGCTTTTCCCATCAAGACCTTGCGGCTGGAGTCATGATAATGCTCCTTGGTCCTTTTATAAATCAATCCAAAAATCTAAGCTAAGTTAAGCACTTGGGAAAGATTTCCAGCTCCCCCCACCCAAACTGTTACTCCTCCTTGTGTTGGTCTCTTTCTGCCACTAGGACCGTGACCTTGTGGAGTGCGGATTCTTTGTTTCCAGCCTTTTCAGCCCCAGTCTTGGCCTGAGCCCGCCCCACGGTGACGCTCCACAGCCAGGATTCAGGGGTCTTAGGAAGGTAGCACATGGGGCCAGCCCGAGGGCGGCAGCCCCTTTAGAGTCCAGTGGGGAGCGTGGTAATGGCCAGTTTGTTTCCTGTCTCTGGGCTGGGAAGTGGTGTTTACTCCTTGATGACAGACAAGCCCAAAATGGAGCGGAGGGTCTCCATATCCTCACCTGCAGCCTCAGGCCGACGAAGCGGCGGTGCCAGCGCTAATGAAGCAGCACAGGAAGCGCCACTGGATAAAGTTCAGCTGTGAACCCTGGCCTCCCAACAGGGGAAGGGGCTCCTTTGAAGACGAGGACAGCTGGGTTTTGGTTTCAAGACCTTAACACTGCCATCACTAGATAGCCATCTGTCAGTGCACAGGGGACCACATGTGGGCAACAGTTGTGTCCGGTCAGGCCGAAGGGGGAGAGAGATGGCTGATTTCCAGGGTAACTGCAAAGCCTCCTGTGGCCGAGGACTCTGTAGAGCATAGCCAAAAAGAATCAATTTGGTGAGGCTGAGGCTTCTGGGAGAACCTTGCACTGTCCACTATAGGCCAGGTGGCCCCAGTATGTCACTTTGCTTCATCCTCACAACAGGGGGTCATGGAAACTTGAGGTACTGCACCTGAGCTCTGCTGACCATCAAGCCTGTCGGCCAAAGCTGCTTCCAGATAGTCCACGGACCTCGGTGACCCCAGAGCCAGCCTGCCTGTCACTTAGTCAAGTAGTCCTCCAATGAGTTCAGCTTCTCTCTCATTTACTTGAGGCCTCCATTTTCTTGCCAGGAAATCTATTCCCTTTTTGATTTTTTCCCTCCCTTGCTGTCTTACAGGGCTGGATCTAACTGGTGGTATTTTTTCTTTCAGGAAAAAAAAGAAGTGTAATTCTTGGTTAAATTTGTTTACTAAGTGTCCTCTAATCTGCGCAAGAGTTTTCCTCTGAGGGGATTTATTGTTCCTACCATAATGGCTTTTAACTTGGCTGAGGTTTATTTAACAGAATAGGAAGGGAGAAACGTATCTCCCCCCTAATCCCTCTTGAATGTTTACACAGCTCTGCCAAAGTAAATGCCGTGTAAAGTGGCGGCTGGCATTTGCTCTCTAATAGTCAACATGCAGCTGCCAGAGCTGATGGGAACATATTAACATAAGTGATAATGCTGTCATAGAAGTGAAAAGTTAAGTTGCTTATCAGTATATTTTGATAAGCTACTTAAATTTTACAGTAGCCTTGGGGGCTTTAGACAGCCGTCAGTGTCCCCTCCATTGCCTCTCACTTCATTTATTACCCTCCAAGGAACAGCTGGTAATCTGCGCGGGGCGCGGGTCCCCCTCTGCCTGCAGGATGGAGAGGTCTGGCATCGGCCCTCCTCTCTGAGTCCAGATCCATCAGTGACGGATGCTGTCAGCACAGCCGGGCAGCCTGATGGGGACGGCCAGCGCTTGGTACGCCACCCTGCTCTTGTGCCCATTGGATGTCACTTTGGAAAAGTTTCTTCTGGAGAACTGAGCCAATTTAGATGATGACAGGCTTCTTGGGAGTGAGGAGCTACTCCAGCAGTTCTCTAACCCTGTGCCTTTGCTGTGAGGCTGTTTGGTTTCATGTATTCCTTCAACACTGAGCACTGTGGGGTCTCCCTGATGGCACAGGGTGTTAAAGTCTCAGCGCTATCAAGCTGTCGCCAGCCACTGCGGTTTGAGTTTGATCCCTGGCCAGGGAGCTGACCCACATGGCGCAGCAGACCTCTCTTGTCTCACCCGCTGCTCTCCTCAGCAGTGTATTTCAATAGATCTGCCTGTTCTGCTCCCCACTCTGTCTCTGGTGAATCTTCTCACGCCCCACACCTCTGGCCTGTACCCCAGTTCTTGTATGCATAAATAAATAAAGTCTTAAAAAAAAAATGCTGAGCGCTGATGGTGTGCCACACTCAGTGCTTGGCCCTCGGTCCTGGAAAGACAGTGAAGAAGGATGTGGTTCTTCTCTCTGTTTGCACACAGTCTAGTCTGTTGGAAAGACATACACACACTGAATACCGCCTCGTGTGTGTGGAACATTATAAAAGGCATACAAACCACTGGGCAGCACAGAAAAGAGAGGATTAGGGCCTGGGAGGCAGAGATGGGAAGCTTTTAGGGGAAATCAGCTCAACTGGACCATGAAGTTCAGAGGGAGAAAATGGTCAAATGTGAGCAAGCTCAGTGAGGCTTGAGGATGCTTGGACATTCTTGGAGTGGGGCGGCAATGAGCGGAGTATGTATGTGGGGAAGTAGAGGGCAGCAGAGAGGCAGTCTAGGGTCTGATGGTGAAGAGCCTTGAATGCTGTGCTAAGAACTCTAGTGATGGGGCACCATTGCAGGAATTTAATCCAATGTGCATGTTAGCAAGACCACTGTAAGAGGTTGGACTTAAGAGTTACAAAGCTCAGGATGGGTGGAGGGCAGTGGGGCTAAGAGTTCGAGAACAATAGATATATATAGAGAATGCACTATAGGGGCAATGTTTGATGTCATGGTCTGAGTGAATTCGGTCTTGTGGGGGCCTTTGGAATGCCTTGCAGACACCAACAGTGGAAGTGTTGTGTATGTGTGTGCGTGTGGTTGTGTGTGTGCAATCATGAGAAACTTGAATATAGTAGCTTTCCTGGAAAGGGTGGTGTGGTGGGAGAGGCCTGGGGGCTATTATTCAGAGATGGTTCCTGATTGCAGAGTCGGCTTTGAATTTCTTCTCTATGAACCTGTTCTAGCTCTGAGGCACGGGAATAATTTATAATGGACATTCAATCTTCTGTCTTCACAGGCAATTTCTTAAAATCCTAGAAATAATTAGCATCTTACCAGTCTGTGTTTCCAGCACAGCCTACGAGAGGAAGAACTGCTCAGGATGTAGAGGGAGACTGAAATGTACCAGTCTCAAATTAACTCCTACTTAAAGTTTTTGACCTGCATACTAATGTTTTGCCTGTTTCCTCTTCTTTCCTCAGTTATCTTCCCTGGTTCGAAGTATTTTATAAGCTCCTTAACATCTTGGCGGATTACACGACAAAAGGACAGGTATTTGCCTTTTATTTTATTCTTTTTAATGAGTAAACTTTAACTTTTAACTTTTGTTTGTGATTATAAAAAAGCAATGCATGCCTTATATTTCACCAAAATGTTGGCCAAAAAAGTAATGCATGCCCATTCTAGAAAGTTTGGGAAATTAAGATATTAGTAGGAAGAAAGAGAAAAATCACTTCTAAGAGCGTTCCCTGCTCCCTCGTTAAGGTAAGTATTAATGGCATTTGGGGATATACTTGTCCTTTACTTTTTGAGTTAAATAATCAATAGACTCTTGGCACTCACTCAGCTAATATTCACAATATCTAATATTCTCCAGCAGCCATAGAAAGTTCATGACATGTATTAAATTATAATTTTGCTGAGGCACAAATTCGTATTTCTTGTGTCATGCTGCAAAGCTGGGATTTGTGAGTAAAACACTTAACTGGCAAGTGACCCAGCCAGCTGTCCCGAGTTCCTATTTCAATAAGGCTTTGTTGTGCTTTTACAGTAATTTTTAAGGGTCTGAAAATTAAAAGTTCAGCTGAACATCCCTGGACTTTCGGGAGAAATGGTGTGCTGAAATATCTCTGGGGATGTTGGGGGAGAAGCTGGAGCTGTGCTAGGACTTCTGCAGTTCATGTATCAGGTGTCATGAAAGCAGCACTCCCCCCAACCCCCCCACATGTAAAAACATTGTAAATATTTTTGTGGCTATATAGCATGATGCCATGTACCCTGACTTACTGAAACATTTGCTGATTGTTGGGAATTTTTGTTATTTGGGATTCTTTTCACTATTCTAACTACAGCCTTTAGCATTTTTGTGCAATAAAGCATTTTCTTCATTTTGAATTATTTCCTTAAAAGGAGAATCGCAGATGGGCTATTGTAAGGCCAGTGGGCAGCAACATTTTAAAACATTTGCCCAACTGCTTTCCCAAAACACAGTACTGTTTTCTTTTCTTTTGCATTCTTTTGTTTGTTTTGTTTTAGTAGGTTTTTTTTTTTTAAAGGATACCCCTTACTAGCAATGTCGCAGAGTACCTCAATCACCTTATTCTCCAGGTATCTCTGGTCGAATTCATTGTGTATTTGACAAGTGAAAGTTTCATCCTTTTAGCTGCATTTCTTTGATTATTAGTGAGTGGAATATTTGTCCTTTCATGTAACTTCTTATATTTTCCCTTTTGTAAATGACCTAACACACTTTTTAATAAAAGTGGTCCATTATTAGTAAATGTTAAAGACATTTTCCCTCTTGTATTTTCCACAGAGTATTAGTTCTGAGAAATGCTTCACAAAAAAAGGGGCCATAGCTAAGTAATACTGGACTGGGGAGCAGGAAACTGCATTATGTTTTGTCTCAAGATTCTTCCCCAGGCTCTGAGGGGTCCTGTGGTGGAGACACCGGGTGCTCCGGTCTCCCCCCTCACATTACCCCCAATGCTTTTTTCTTTTTTAAAGGGCCTAATTGACTTTATCAAACAGTTCATGAGTTGAGTGGCACCCCCTCTAGCAGGTAGGAAGATGTTTCCCCAAACCCTTTTTACTTCCTAACAAATACTGGCATTCTGACATTAGTGTGTTTCCTGAAACATACCTTGGAAAACGCTATTTTGGAGGAAAGATAGAAATTGTGTGTGTAGCAGATAAATCTTTCCTTCAAGTTAAATTTACTCACTAGCGTATTTCAGAGGCCGCAGTGAACTGAAGGAGTAACTGAAAGAAAAGGTTCCCAAGATCACTACACTCCTGAAAGGAAGCTTGGGGACCAGGGAGTTCTGTCATGAAAGAAGTGATTTTCTCTTTGAGGAATGAGTCAGGAGGTCACCTTGGGTCTGTTCATCGATTTCTGATTCACAGTTCATTTTAGTGAAACATCCAGGTTTCCACTCAACTCCAAGTGAGGTCTCCAGGATATGGAGTTGTATTAACATGTGGGCTCTTGACAGTTTTAGCATTAGAAATTAACTGATTTTTTTTCCCCACATTGATGCTCCAGTCAGTTAAAAATAACTAACATGGTAGATTTTTAAAAACATGCCTCATGTTGTGGGAGAGGCTGCGTGGGTGCAACCTACACGCTGGGGAGAAAGACTGTAACCCTGTCATGCAGGCACCCCAAGCCCAGCCGTGGCCCCCTAACATCCTGCCTCTTGGAATGCTGGAGACTGAGATCAGTGATGTTTCAGTGGAGTCGGTTTTCTCTGTACCCACAACTCTTTTTACCAAATGTATTTCGGTTAAAGAAATTCTGACAAAGATGATAGGCTCTCCACCTACATCTGGTTCAGTTGTTTGCAAGGTCAAGGTACGGGTCATCATGTTAGAATGGGAGCAAAGAGCTTTTATAACAAAAACAGAAGCCCCTTCCCAAGTTCAGAAGCCACTGAGAAGGTCCAGCAAGGTCGTTTCTCCTTAGAGGAAGGAAGGCCATAGGGGGAGCTCAGTGTGGAGTGTAGGATCATCTGTGTATGAGGGTGTCTGTCTGGGTCATCGACCCAACATGGTGATCAGACCCTGACTGGGGCAACAAGGCCTCCCCGTGGAAGGGGTGGCAGGAGGTCAGGAGGACCTTTGAGCCAGAGCAGCCTGGCTGAGGGTGTCTGTGAGATGAGGTATTTGTTCCTGAGGGACAAAGGTGGCAGCAGCTCGGTACCAAATGTCTGGACTCAAGTGGGACCCACGTGGATCCCAGCAGTGGCCCAGCCCTGGGGTGTGGAGCGCGGGGTGCAGATGGCATGTTTGTTTGCAGGGGTTGGGAGAACTGGGGGCCGAGGGGATGAATAGTAATGGTGCCTAGCATTGGACGTCAGTATCCAGGCAAGGCCAAGAGGACATGTGGGTGGATAGGGAGGTAGGGGCAGTGATCAAAGATTGTAAGTAAATATATTAGGAAAGTAGGTGTGAGTTTCTTCACCTTTGTAGAATATAGTTACAAGTATGTAAAGGGAGGAAATGAGAATGATTCCTGTACTGGGTTAGAATGGAGCTAATTGGTATGAACCTGTGGCTTTTAATATATGTGACAGATGTAAAAATAGAGGTGTAAGTGTGTGTTGCGGGTCTCTGTGTGGATTATATTCTCTGGCTCTTTTCTGTGAAAGGTCCTGGGCTTGGCAATACCAAGTAGCAATGAGCACACCTAGTGCCCAGATCTTGGTTTCTAATTACTGTCTTCCACTAAATAGCATCAGAACTCTCTGAAGAAATGTCTGTGTCCAAGGCTGGCACTCAGAAAGCAAAAGGTCACCCTGGACTATCTTCTTGTGCCAAAAAGTAAGGAAGTACTCAAAATACTGGGGACATGCCAGGAAAGCACAAAAATGTCTTGAAGTAGCAGGGCCCCCACTGGTCATATCTGGTACAACTTGAGCATCAAATAATGATAGCAAAGGATTATAAGCCATGGATTAAAAGAGGAAACAATGTGTCCCTGTTAAACATAGATAATTAAATAGATCAATTGAAAGTTCGATGAGGAATGGTATATTTACATGAAGTATCACTGCACAAAATGCTTTCCAAACACAAAATGGGTGACCACAACACAGAGACATCAGATGCGTTAATCAAATGATCAGAGCGTGCTGTGTCAGTAAGGGGATGAACTGAAATCGGAATCAATAGAAAACATCAGACACTTGAGGGTCTGCAGGGTGACCGGTCTAACGGTCAAGGTCATCGAGGGAAGACTAAGGAATTGTCCCAAGCTGGCAGAACTGGGAGTCCTGATGGCCATAGGCAATAGGTGATTCTGAACTGGATCACTTTTCTGTCAAGGATTTCTGTCAAGTGTGTTATTGACACACTTGACAGAACTTGATGGGATCTGAGGATTAAGTGGTTATGTATCTAATGTTAATTTCCTGAGTTTGTGGATTAATTGTGGTTATGTAGGAGAATGGCCTTTTTGTTTCTGGGTAGATGGGGTGTAATGTTGACAACTCTGAAACAGCTTAAGACATAAAACGTCTTTTTTCCTGGCCTACGGATATTCCGTAAATTTGAAATTGTTTGAGAATCTCAGATTTACAGATTAAAATTAAACACATGCAAAAATGCTCACACACTTTCATTTCTCTCTGAAATATGTAACTGATCAGCGTTCAGAGTGAAACCACCTTTTCATCAGGGCTCATCCTTTTGTCTCCTGAATTCACTACCAAGGACAGCTGTGGAGGTGCGGGTTGGGGAGGGGGCAGTGGTGGGGGATGGAGGGAGGGCGTTTGAATGCAGAAAACCTGCGTTGAGATCCTGGCCATGCAATTTAGTGACTGGCCGATTCGGGCAAGTTACTTCACCCTTTAGAGCCTTCAGTGTTCAATCTGTAAAGTGGGGTAGTTGGGAGGATCAAAGAGATAATAAGTGGATACATGTGTTAGCTTATCACTGGTATATTAGCACAGAGAACTCCACAGAGTGGGAGAATGGGCTTTTGGCTAATTCTGTAAGCAGTGTTCTTTTGAGCATTTTAAAGGTGAATCTGTTTTCAATCGAACAATTTGCACTGCTTTGTACTTCATTCTTTGGCTCAGTTTCACTAATTAAAATGCACAGCCACCATCCTATATCACAGGCTGTTGTACGTAGTTCATTTTTAACTTTCCATAATTGGATGCTGCCGTGTGTATCCAGTGAACACTCAATAAAATTAATTGAGGGTAATGATGAAGACGAGATCTATAGTGTCATCGTTATTTCTCCCCACCACCCCCGCCCTGTGAGCTAGGGTTGTTTGCATTTAAAAGTTGTTGCTATGGAGTTGAGAGGATAGATTTGCTGGGAGCTTATGGTATACGATCCATAAAAGGCGGTCATGGTAGGTGTCTCGCTGAGTAGAAAATGTCAAACTTGGTGTGGGAGGCTCTGTTGGCTCTTACATGGAGCCAGAAGCAGTGGCTTTGTCCAACCCTCCTTGAATATCAAACTATTTCTGTCCTGGGGCCAGCCCCTCCCCAGCCCCCTCAGTCATGAGGGCCCCAGCTCACTGTGTGCCCAGATCTCCCTGCAGGTCTTTGGCAAAGGGCTCAGCCTTCCATCACTTAGGCCTTTTCTTTCTTTCAGGAAAGTCAGTGGAATGAACTTCTTGAAACGCTGCATAAACTTCCCATCCCTGACCCGGGAGTGTCTGTTCATCTCAGTGTGGTAAGTGGGGAGCAGACCAACCAGCCCTGAGAAACCATGTCATTATCCACAGCAAGAAAGAGCCCAGCAGGATGGTCTTTGTCATCTGCATCTTCCCCACCACAACCCCATGTATTCAGATATCCTGGGCTCCAGGCGGGCGGGGACTTCCCAGTTGTTACCCCATTACCTGGATGGCAGATACTCGGACTGGAATAGGATGGCTGGCTCCTATCTGGGGTTCCCTGCCTCACACTTTGCCCCCCAGCTCTGCTATACCTGCCCCTTTCCTAAAGTTCATCCTCCCCCCTCACCCCCGGGCCTTCAATGTAGCCTCTCCCCTATGTATCAGGGGACACCATATTCACTGTTCAGAACTCAACTCAGATTTGATTTCCAGAGAAATCCTCCCAAAGGCTTTGCTTAGGTCTTCGTCTTGCCCAAAGTGTCTTGTGCACACCATAGAACCCCATCACACCGCACTGGAATAACCCAGTTTCCTTTCTCCTCCACTGGACAGCATGCCCCTGAGGACAGCGATGGAGAATGCCTGGCACAACTCCTGCTAACAGTAATAATGGTTTCTCTGAGCGCTGTGTGCTCTAGTGTGGCAGGGTGGGACATTCTCAGATGGACACCCTTGACTAGCCGTTGGGCCTCCATGGGATATCCCCTGGTGCTGTGGTCTGAGCATGGAAAAAAGATTCTTTCAGCCTCATTAGAGCCAGGTGCTGCTCCTATTCCATGGTTATCTTGGGATTTGCCCTCTTAAAGAAATGGAGGGGGGATTTCCATGATGATCAAGTTGAAGGCAATATTACTACCTATGGCTAATGGAGATGCCATTTATGAAGTTCCTAATTTATGCCAAGTTTTCATCTAATGTGCAAAACAACTCTACAAATAGACATTAAGATTCTCATTTCGCAGATGAGGTCTAGAGAGGAAGAGGAAGTTGCTGCCCCAAGGTTGGATGGTTAATAAGTTGGGAGATTGGGCTTTTCAAACCCAGGGCCTCTGTTCTTTCTGCTGGGCCATGAGTGCTGAAAGGAAAGAAGTAAAGGAGGAAGGAATGGAGGGACTTACAGAGGTTTTCACTCATTTTAATAGAGCCTAGGAAGAAAGGGAACCTTGTCACAGAAATTCTTAACAGGAAGGCTATCTGGAAAAGATGAAGAATGAGCTTGGACCTGCCCCAGTCAGTGCTGGGGAGCTCAGCAACCTCCCCTTTGTCCCTTTACTAAGCAGCTTGATCTCACGGCTTCAGCCCGTAATAACATCCGACAGGTAGCTGTGGTGTAGCCTGGCTGGGTCACCAGCTGCTGGGGAAGAAGGGCCACTTCTTCCCCTGAGTGCCTGCCAGGCCTCAAGGACAAGCCATGGCAGGGGCAGGAGGAGCTATTTGGGGGTGGGGGACTGTTTCATGCCATTGGTTACTGGGAATGTTTCTGACCCCCTCTGGTCTCAGCATTTCATGGGCGATGGAGCAAGACAGAATCGCAAAGGACAGCCCGGGGGCTCCTTGGTTTTGGAATTGTGTCGGCTCACTGTTTACAATCCATTGCCTCTGTAAAGGCAGATAAGTTTTCTTTCCTCTTAACTAGGAATTCCTCTTCCACATTTCTGATTTTGAAGGACTAGTCTCATGTAGACTTTAAAACCTGAAATGTTGATAAAATGATAGTCCTGAACTCTTTGTCTTGAATCACAGGAGAATATTCTCGTGCGTGATTGTAGGTGATTGAGCAATACTTATGTTAAAGTATCATTTATGGACTACCAGGCACATCACATGTCTAAACACATGTTCAGCAATTCAGAAGTAGATGTTATGATTTCTGTCTGCATGTTCAAAAATGGAGATTTTGGCTAGAAAGCAGGTATTCTGAGGTCACACTGGCTCTATAGTGGTCAATTCAATGACCCTTGTTCTTTCTCCCTCACCGTGCCAATGTTGTGACTCTGTTACCAGTCTCGAGCTGGTAGAGAACTTGGTATTTCATGGCATCAAACATAACCTTGTATCTTATTTTTACTATTTTAATCCTCACTGTTGAGTTGAATTAATCATTAGCTAGTTTCCACGGTACATGATGTCTGTGATATTCCATAGGTAATATTTTGGCATGGAAACATAGGTTTTGGAATAATGCATCTCATTGTGTCTTTTTAAGTTATCTTTTTGTACTTTTTCTGCATTTTACTTTTTAGTTTATTATTTTCAGTGGCTTTAGCTATAATTTGCATATAAAAAACATAGGTACAACAGTCTGTTTTCATGGAAAGAGCATTGTTTTAGTTACACAGACCTGGCTTCCAACCAAGTTCTGCCATCGGCTAGCTATGACCATAACAAGTTGCTTTACCTATCTAACCCTTAATTTTCCCATTTGTAATAGGCAGAAAATACCTATCTTTAGGTTTGTTTTATGGAAATTAGAAATAGGATTTATAAAGTATCTTTATAAATCTTTATAAAGTACCTTTATAAATCTTTTCCATGTAGCAGGTGTTCAAGAAATATCTGTTGAACATTAGACAAGTCATTCATACTATTATTGTTGTCATTGTCATTGCTGCAATTGTCCCCTGGGCCTTTCATTTCAAGGAGCCTATAGAACTCATTCTTCTTGAGACCCACTTAATCGCGATTATCCAAGAATGGAGGAGGTGGGAGGACTTCCTGAAATGTCTCTTGGGGGTCTTAAGTTTGAACTTAGGCCATGGCTAAGCTGACCTTCTCTGCTTGTGACCTTTCCTGGCCTTTCCACAATCTGCTCTTTAATTGGCCAGCACCAGCTCTTTCCATTCCTGTGGCCATTGTCCTCTGAGTCTTTAGTAGCACAGAGGAGGTGTCATCAGTTCAGCCTGTTGTCATTTAACTCAGGGACACATGCTTGTTACGTACATAGAGATACCTCATTGAAAGTTCTCTGAACAGGTCAATTTTTCAGCTCCACTGAGTCCAGCCCCCTTCCCTGGGGTCTGCACTGGAAGTCAGGAGGCTTATTTTTAGGACATGCAATGAAGACAGAATTCCCCCACCATTAGCCGTCTATGATGGTCTGTCTCAATGCAACAGTCCTTCAGCCGGGCTGCCCTGGGCCCTCAGGCTAGATTTTGCCCACAGCCTGTAGATGGATGTAATCTCAGGTGCAGAAATAAAATGGCAGGCTTGCTTGGGAAAGACCACTGCTGAGTGATCCTAGTGCTATTTGGTCCCTCAATTCCATTTATCTCCTTGAACAATTGTGAAGCCCACAGCTTTCATGTGTTCATGACTCTGCAAACATTGCTTGGGAATTTAGCCTTTACCCTCTTGAAGCTTTTCACTGGTATTCCCAAAGAAGTTCACCCTTCATAGAAGAGAAGTGTATCTGGCTTTAACCCAAATTTGTACAAAGAAAGTATTGGATGGACATTTCTAAGTAAAAACTGTTTCCTTATCTGAATAAGGAAATATCTTCAGATCATTTCCTGTTTTCCAAATAATGTGCCTGTTGCTCATTTTTGCAAAAATAAATTGCTTTAATTTTCTTTTCCAGCATTCTTATTTTACTGTGCCTGACACCAGAGAACTTCCCAGCATACCTGAGAATGTGAGTATTGGGAACAAAAAATGTTTTTTTTTAAATGATGGGCTGCATTTTCCATTATAAAAATAATACTTTATAAAAGCAAAACCAAGTGGAAATGATTTGAAAAGTTTAGAAAATGTACTAATAAGTAGTAAAGATTAGGAGGGATCATTTTCATACTAGTCAAACCTGTTAACATGTGGTCCTCATTCTAATCTTTTTAGAGTGTAGTTTTTACAAAGTTAATATCACCTAATACATAAATATTTTTTCTGTTTTCATGATAAGAATTTGTTGGCTGCATAATATTCCACTCACTATGTAGCTTACTTACCTATGTTCCCTCACTATTATATCGTTAGATGGTTTTCAGTTTTTGCTGTTGTGAAAAAAATGTTTTTATATAAAAGTTTCCATGTAAAGATTTCATTAGGGCAGATTTATCCATTTTTAAGAAGATAAAAATTGTGGGTATAGATGTGAGGCCCCCGTCCCTGTCTCTTAAAGACTTAGGAACAGTGAAGTAGTGTCTGAGAGAGAGCAGAGGTAAATGTAAATGTCTGCCTCTGAACAAGCCAAATGGCTTCTGTCTTAGCCTCTGCTTATGAGTAGATTATGCAGAATTAAATCTAGAATTGCCACCATTTGGGCACTTGATTCCTTTTTTAAAAATGTGGGAAGTATATATAACATGAAGTTTACCATCCTTAAGTACACAGTTTGGTGGTGTAAAATAAGTGCATTTACATAATTGTGCAACCATCACCACCAACCGCCCCAGAACTTTTTCAACTTTCCAACTGAGACTCCATACTCTTTAGAAGAACTCCCTATTTCCCCTCTCTTTTCATCCTCTGGTAACCACTGTTCTTTCTGTCATTGAATCTGACTACTCCAGACACCTCATTTAAGTTGAATCATTCAATGTTTGTCCTTTTGTGCCTGGCCTGTTTCACTTAGCATAATGACTTTGTGGTTCATCCATGTAGTATCATGTGTCAGAATCTCCTTCCTTTTTAAGACTGAATAATATAATAGGCTATACTTTGCTTATCCATCAATAAACACTGAATTGTCTCTACCTTTTGGCTGTTGTGAGAATTGTTGCTGCGAATATTGCTGGACATCTGGTTAAGTCCCTGCTTGTGGTGGTTTAGTGTATCTACCCCATTCCTTTTTAAAAGTGCAATAATAAGTGATGTATTTTTCCATAGCTACTATAGATACACAGAAATGAAATTCTTTTAAGTGTTGCCGATAGAGCAGACAAATTACAAGTGTCAAGTAATCACATTTAATTAATGAAATTAGGATGTCATGTTGTGATTTGATACCAGTCTTAATAAGTTGTGATTGGCGAGTATATTATCAATATAATCAGGCTATGGTGGAAAATATTGCTTCCTTTTTATTTAAGATTTAAGATTAAGTAAAAAATTCAAACCGTATTTCTCTTTCAACAGTTGTCAATGTTTATTGAATACTACGATGTGTCAAATGATGTGTTTAGTGCTTTACCTGCATTTTCTCATGTACCTCTCTTTACAAGCTTAGGTGATACCTACTATAATTACTCTTACAGAGGCTCTAGGAATTTAAGTAACGTACCTATATTTATACTCTAATTAAAACAGAGGCTCTAGGAATTTAAGTAACGTTCAAGAACCTACAACAAAGAAGTGGTAGAATTAGAATTCCAACCTTGGTCTTTCTGATTCTGATTTATTTTTCATCGCTTAAAATTTTTTATTAAAATAAGAGAATTATAAAATTAAAGAGAAAAGTTTCCATGTAATGGCAAGAAGAGGCCACCATGAACCAGAAAAATCTGAGAAATGTCTGCAGTGTAAGGGAGATGATCTTTGATACTTGGTTGTCAGTTTAGAGTGGATGATGGAGGAGACCAAAAAGAACTAGAAAAATCCTTTAGGAAGAGTAGGAGCAGGGGAATGTTCTCATATTATTCCTTTGAAAAATTATTTTTCTTCTTTATTGGGTCCCTCTGTGGTAGGATGTTAAACTATCTGTGTTGGCCCTCTGATTTTCTTTTCTCTAGTTTGTATGTTGCTCTTTTAGTCTTCCTACTTCAACTAACTTTTCTACCCTTTTAAATTTCTTAAGTCTGCCGTCATTGTTAATATCCAAGAGCTACTTGGTGGTGTTCAATAAATTGTTCATTTTTTAAAAAGTACCTTATTTCATGGGTATAGTATTTTTTCTCATCTCTTGGAGACTTTTATTGATAGCGCTTAGAAATTGTTCTCCCTGCATTGTTTTCTTCCTTGGCGTCCATTTCTTCTATTGTTATCCTGGAGGCTTTCCTCAAGTAAGGTGCCTGTTCCCATTTGAGAGTGAGGAACTAAAAAATGAGTTGGAAGCTCTGTGTGTATGAATGGGGCTCATCACCTGGTGGGCTTCATTATGGAGGATGGATAGAGAGAGGCCTAACTACTTGCGGGTAAGTGGGAATCTCAAATGTCAGTATCAGTATATGTTTGTTTGGATGAGTCATTTTCTTTTGCTAGGGAGTGTAAGCTTCCTTATCAGTGTTCCAGCAGCTGGGTGAGGATAGCAACATTTAACATGTGTACTGTTAGGAACCCATTCCCTGTTTTTGATAGAAAAATTTATCCCCTGTCCACATTGTGCCTGGCATACCCAGGTCTTCCAGCTCAGTTCCTTCAGAGAGTAAGCATTCTTCTTCGGGAGGGATGCCAGGAACCCATTTGAGTAGCTAAGAACTGGGAGAGACTCTCATTTTTATTGGGCCATCCTCCAACCTTCAGAGTTCTGGGTCTCCAGTTTCTGAGCCATTTTGGAACTCCGGGTGTTAGTTGGAGACAGTGCTCGGGGCCTGGACCCCTGCCCAGCGTAGCGTCCAGCCTGTTCTGGGCTGCCCAGCCAGCCTCATGCAGTTACCCGCTAGTGACAGCTTGGGCCTAATAACCCATTTTCCGTTGCATGGGACTTTCTTGTATGTTGAGGGATTTTAGTGGCATCCCAAACCTCTACCACTCTATTTTGGTAACAACCCTTCTCCAGCTGTGCCAACCAAAACTGTCTCCAAGTGTTGCCACATGTCCTTGGGAGCAAATGACCCAGGGTGAGAATCTTCACTTTAGTGAGAGCATTTGCTTTCTGGCTTCTACAAATTTGACGTCCTCTCTTCCATTACTCTCTCTTTTATTCTTTGGGGTTAATATCCTTTAAAATTCTTCCACTGTGATTTTCTGGAGTGGACTGAGCATGGTATCAGGAGAAAGAAAAGACATATGTGTTCAATCCACCATGTTTTACTGGAGTTCTCCATAGTATTTTAACTATGCCTCTCCTGCTGATAGACATTCAGATTTTTTCTAGCATTTTGCTATTATAACGGTATAATAGAAACAATTACCTAAGTTAGATTCATCCTTCTATTTACTTTTATTTTAAGGACTGAGAATTCCTTAAGAACTTAAATTTAAGGTATCTAGAAGTTCTGATAATGTCTTAATTTGTAAAGCCATAGTTACTGAGATTAAAAAATACTTTAGAAAATTTTTTAAAAAACCTGTCTCCTCCATTGTCCCACCTCCAATTCCTGTCTGCATAATTTTCCACCTCCCCTGGCCCCACCATTTTCCAAAAATTTGCATTCCTTTTGCTGGTTTTGCCGTGAATGAACCCATTCCCTGTGCATGACCCATTGTCCCCTAAATCCTCCTTTGCAAACCCGTAAAAGGCTGGCCTTGTTTGTTTCTAAGTAGGAATAATAAAAACAATCTGCCAGACTCCTAACATACGTGGTTCCATTTAAATCCTTGCAGTTCCTCTGTGAGGCTGAGTGAGCCCCATTTTACATCTAGGGACCCAGGATTCACAGACCTGAGGTTCCAGCCCAGAGTCGGCTCTGAAGTGGGGTGGAGTGACCAGGTTTTTAAGGACCCAAAGCATTTTGTTTCCATTATACCCCCTACCTGCCTCCCTACAGTTGACCTTTGATATTCATGAGGAAAAAGGAAAAGAAATGATTTTTCATATCTCAAAGATGAAATGAGGCAGGAGAGCTTTTTCTCTAAGGAGACTCTGAACTTTTATTTGTGTGATTTTTGACATAGAAGCACTACTGAGCTTGAGCCATGTTGAAATTTGCATTATAATCTCTTGGTGATTTTTTTCAAGGATTAATTTAAAATGACTAAATTGCTGCATTGCAAATTGAAACAAGCAATAATAACCATGGGGTAGTTAATACCATACAGTCTGCAGAAGTCGCAAGAACATGAGTTTCAAAGCCAGCCAGCCACTGGGCTCCACCAACCAGGACTTGGGGCTGTTTCTGTTTTCTGAGCCTCATGTCCTTATCTAAGAAAGAAAAATGGGAGGAACAAATGAATTATTAAATGGAAGGTTCCAAGTTCATTGTCTGGTGCAACAGAGATGCTGCTTTCCAGGATCTTTCTTTCCCTCTTCGCTCCACTTTCTGGAATTCCAGTGCTAACCTCTCTCGAGGCCTGAGTGGTGATTGTGGGCTAGGGACCATTAGTCCCTGGAGTTTCCTTTTCTAGGTGTTTGCTAACATTGTGAAGATCAATACTTTTCCTTTAATGGAGTTTATGTCTGGCCACAAAGGTCTCTAAGCAGGCGCCATCGCCATCGGTGCTGGCACTTCTGAAGCCTGAACCGGGCCTACGGCCCGAGGGGGTGTTCTGTAAACTTTATTGACCACCTCCTCTGAGGGACATGCTGAACTTAAGAGAATAAGCTGAGGAAAGGGTAAAAAGTACTTTGGGATGTGGAACTTGATTCTGGCACCAGGTAATTACAGTCTCCTGGATAGCTTCAGAGAAGGTGTGATATGTAAGAGAGATGGGAGCTAGGATTTATCAAACCACTTGCTCTGGATCAGATCAGGTGCTATTTGTTTGTCATGAAATCTTCACAGCAGCCTTATGGCGTGGTTGTCTTCCCTGTTCTGAAGAGGAGAGGAAGCCCCTGGTTACCCAGACAGAAAATGCTAAATTCTGGGTTCCCGCTTG